CAAATGCTTCTATTGTTATATTTTCCAAGTCTCTTGGTTCATATCAGTTCTTATAGTTTGTTTTGTGAGAACGAACGTTATTTTTTGAGATTGATCATTTTACATTAGTTGAAAGTTGTCGAGTATGAGTGAAAATGCTCGTCTATATTTGAATCGTCCGCATTTACAACGGAGGAAATCCGATATGCCCTTGTTCCCAGTCGTGCAAACTCAAACACCATTTAAAAAATAAGAGTAACACGAGTACAAAAATATAGGTAATGAGTAAGACTACGCCAGCTCCTCTCAACCAATAGAATACTAGAAAGTCTCATGTTCGAGTCTCCCTAACTCAGCTCATATGAGCTCACAAATAGGGTTTTCACTTCCTAAATCATCGCATTTGGCTCTTTCGAGCTTTCCTCAACCATCTATACGAAATTGTCAAACCCAATGGTTGGATTCACATATTTTAGCTCGTATGGACCTATTTCAATCAGTGGAATCATCTGACTCGACCTAACAATCGGTATCATATAGTCTAGCTCCTTCGAACTTATATCTCAATCATTGATATCTCACGACCTACTCAATAATTGATTTCCCGTTAACTAGCTCCTCTAAGCTTATCTTAATCAGTTATGTCACACGTCCTACTCAATTACTGGTTTACAGTATCTAACTCCATTGACTGTTCCTATAAGCTCATCCTCCCGTTCAAGTAATTCAGATATGTCTTTTACACTTTATTTATTAACAATTCATACCGTGAAACTTGTCGAGAGTTAAAAATCAAATTGAATTTAGTTTAATCATAGAAATTGAAAAAGGTTATTTTTGGTGATTAAAGCAAAAACGAAGATTTTAGCAACAAAAATGTGAGACATGCAAATCTTACATGGTCTTTATTTATTTCATGTAGCCTTTTGAGAAATTGCATATCTATTTTGACTAATAATAATTTATTTATTCCAATTAGTGAAGTTTGTTTCAAATCACATTTTTAATCTTAACAACATTTTATCGATATTTTAATTATAAAAAAAAATACTTTTGCCTATATTCGTGACGTTCGAGTAAATAATAAGTATTATAATAAACCGAGACTATATTTGAATAAAAATAATTCGACCCAACCCATCACGTGCAGTTGAGTTGGGTCATGAAATTATTTGAGTTGAGTCGAGTTCAAATAAGTGAAAACCCGAACCCGAACTTCAAATTCTATTCTAAAGTCTACAATATTTATGGATTAAATTTACAATTAGTATATTATTTTGCGTTCGGGTTTAGGGTTGAATTTTTGAAAACCCAAAAATTTAGATCGGTTTGTGGGTTTCAACCTAAGTTTACCCTGTCTTTTAAGATCACGATGAAGGTTAAAAATATTTTATCATTATAATCAATAGTAATGCGTCGTTACTCAATTTATGAGATTTTAATTATTAATATAAGTGAATTAGTATGGTTTTTTTAAATAATCTAAAAAAACAAACGAACCCCTAACTATGGGTTGTGACATGAACGGTAACAGCCCAAGTTCACTGTTAATACATATTATCTGTTATGACCCGTTGCGTATCGTCATTAGCCTTAAGATTTTTAAAACGTGTTTGTTAGGTAGAGGTTTTCACACCTTTATAAAAAATGTTTCGTTCTCCTCTCCAATAGAGACGGGATCTCACCCGAACTTATTAATATTAAATGCAATTTAAAAAGGTTAGTTAGAAAACAAAAATATTTATGACAAAAAAGGACAAAAAAAAAAGTTGAGAAAATATTCCAACCACAAGAATTATGTTTCATGAGTCAAATTTTTTAACCAATTGGTTCACACTTATAAATAATCAATAATAATAATAATAAATAAATACTAATAATAATAATAATAATTCAATATTCTCCTTTTTTAGCTACCGACATTTTAATCAAATTTTTTATGCTAATATTTTTGGGCAAAATATAAAATTTCATAATTAAAAAAATAAAATACACAAACACGGTTGTTAAATTATTTAATTTATTTTAGTTGAGCAGTTATATTTTAATAGTTGCCATAATTTGAGTATAGCTCTGTAACGACCTAGATCCACCGCTAACAGATATTGTCCTTTTTCGACTTTCCTTTTCGGGCTTTCCCTCAAGGCTTTAAAACGTGTCTATTGTGATGTCCCACATTGGTGGAGGAGGAGAACAAATCACCCTTTATAAAGGTGTGGAAATCTTTCCCTAGCAGACGTGTTTTAAAGCCTTGAGGGGAATCGAAAGGAAAAAGTCCAAAGAGAACAATATCTGCTAGTTGTACATGAAACATATACAATGAATGCTTATTATTTAAAATAAAAAACTAATATATTTACAAAAAAAAAATCCAATTAAAATAATTAGGTTTATTTTTTATTTATTACTTTTGAGAACAAAAATTAATAAATAAGTATTTTATTTTATTTGCCCAAAAAATAATATTAAACAGACTTCGATTTCTAGCCGATATTGTATTCTTTTTTTTAATGAGGTTCAAAAATATTAAAACTATTTTTAAAAGGGTATAAGTACTTTTAAAACGTGTATCAACCATAAGAATATTTTTTTAATTTTTTTAAAAAGTTGAGAGGAAGAGATAGACAAGAAGTTTCTGTGACTGAGTCACCAAAAAAAAAAACGTGCAATATTGGTACATGAAGTGAATTTTAATTATTTTAAACATCACTCTCATTCAGATATGGTATTGGTTCATTCATGTACCTCTTATTTACTCGACTGTCAAATATTAATTATTATTTTTTAATTTAAAGAGTATATTTATAATAAAACTAAAAAAAGGAAAGATTTATTTTTCGCACGTGAAAAAGTGACGAATGCGTATGAGGTGACATAAAGCAAAAAAAAAAAAAAAACAAAACGTCCTTATCATGCCACGTTTCCACAAAGAAAAAGAAACGTGCTGAATATGTTAATTAATTAATCCAAAATTTAATTAAACTAATCTCGAAATCTCCGCCGTTGGTCGCTCTATCTAACTTTTGGCCCCACGCTGCCTTGAATCCAACGGCCATCGTTCACTTTCTTGCTTTCCGAAGCCGTGTGGTTATTATTATAATGTCGATAACGAGTAAATGGGGTCCACGAGGAAGACGATTTTTTGGCCGCCGAGTTTTTGGTTTTTTAATCCGCGTAGCAGCTCCTTCGTGGAAACTAGCTGTAGTTAACCACACTGTAGTTGAGTGTCAAAATTTATATTTATTGCTCGTCATAAATATTTTTAAGTGGATTTTCTTTGTATTTTATTATTTCTTTTACGTGTTTTTTTTGGATGGGTCCGGTTAAAAACATCATTAACATTAATTAAAAGACATCACGACTCTCCACAATTGTATGATATTGTCCACTTTGAGCTTCCCCAAAAGGCAAATGACTCTGAAAACATCATTAACATTAGTTAAAGACGTCACGACTCTCCACAATTGTATGATATGGTCCGGTTAAAAACATCATTAACATTAGTTAAAAGACATCACGACTCTCCACAATTGTATGATATTGTCCACTTTGACCATAAGCTCTCATGGCTTTGCTTTGGGCTTCCCCAAAAGGCAAATGACTCTGATACCATGTTAGATGAACACAATACCAATATATTGGCACATAGTTGTGTTTAGGGCATGACTCTGATAGAGTATGAACATGAGTCTCCACAATGGTATGATAATATTGTCCATTTTGAGCATAAACTCTTATGGTTTTGCTTTGGGCTTCCCAAAATCCTTCGTAGCTATAGAGATGTATTCCTTACTTATAAACCCATGATCTTCCACTAAATCAACCAATGTGGGACTACTCCCAGTAATCCTCAACAGAGTACGTCAAGTTGGTTGGATTTGCATGTCATTTAAACACTATTCAGTTAACTTCTCCCTCCCCAATGTTATATAATGTGAGCCGTTATTATTACTTTCTTACTTGTTTATATAACGTCTCTTTCAAAAATCTCTCTCTACCCACGTTTTCTAAAACCTTCTTCCTAAACTGAGGCTAGAGGCTCGAGCATACGTCGTTTTGTTATAGGTGACGCAATAACAAATTGACTTAGCTCACTTTCCGTTGGAAAGCGAGTGCCGCATAATCGCAAGTCTGCTGCTTATCAAGAGTGTGATGGTGATAAGTGGATAAATTTTTTGCAAAAACTACATATTTGACCCAAGATTATATACTGTGAGCCGTTGTTGTTACTCTTGCTTGCTTATATAACGTCTCTTTCAAAAATCTCTCTCTATCCTCGGTTTTTAAAACCGAGGCCAGAGGCTCGAGCACACGTTGCTTGACCATAAGCGACGCAAAAACAAATTGCCTTAGCTCACTTGTCGTTGAAAAGTGAGTGCCGCACAATCGCAAGTTCACTACCATCAAGAGTGCGTTTCTGACAAGTGGATAAATTTTAATTTTAATTTCTTTTTGCAAAAACTACATATTTGACTCTTAAATAAAATAAAAATTCGAGAATAACGAATAATATTTTATAATTAAAAAAATTATTGCAGAGTAAGTAACTCGTCTAGTGGAGTCATAGATGCAACATAGGCACGTGTGACCTATATCATTTTTCATTAAATCATAATATTTTTTTTACAATAAATTGTTACAAAATTTAAAAAGAAATAATTGGAATCATACATAAAATAAAATTATAGATATTTTTATGTGGCTTACTATTTTCATTTTTTTTTAGATAAAATGGAAAAAATAATCACTTCCGTGTTTAAAGATCGACACGTGTCAAACTCCCATTAGCGAAACGACAAAGACGTCACGTGTCAAACAAACCGAGCCGAACCGGGCTAGCTAAACCGATCCATCTGGCAGCTAGTTGTAGTACAGTTCTAAGCGAGGAGTTGAAAAAAGACGCCGGGTTTTTGAACGATTAAATCGGCGATCAAAAAAAAAAAGAAGCGTCGTGGTGCCTTCCTCGGCTTAGTCTGCTCCCAAATAAATGGCAATCCGATCGCCCGACATTTCTCAAGACCAAATTTCCCTTTCTTCTCCGAATTCTGTTCTCCAAATCTCAATCGCATGACGGATTATCGTTTGTCGACGATGAATCTTTGGACCGACGAGAACGCGTCGTTGATGGACGCCTTTATGAACTCCGATCTCTCCTCTTACTGGGCTCCATCGGCTGCGTCGTCTCATTCTCTTCACAACCAACCGCCGCCGCAGTCCTCCGCCTCAACTTCCACACCGCCGCCGGATCCCCCTAAATCCGTCGCCGTTTTCAATCAGGAGACTCTGCAGCAGCGTCTCCAGGCGCTGATCGACGGCGCCAGGGAGAGCTGGACTTATGCGATTTTCTGGCAGTCGTCGTACGATTACCCCGATGGGTCGGTTTTGGGGTGGGGAGATGGGTATTACAAAGGGGAGGAGGATAAAGGGAAGGGAAAGGCGAAAGTAGTGACGTCGGCGGCTGAGCAAGCTCACCGGAAGAAGGTTCTCCGGGACCTTAACTCTTTGATTTCTGGATCCGCCGCCGGACCGGACGATGCGGTGGATGAGGAGGTTACGGATACGGAGTGGTTCTTTTTGGTTTCCATGACTCAGTCGTTTGTTAATGGAGTTGGGTTACCGAGTCAGGCGTTCTTTGACTCGACCCCGATTTGGATCTCCGGCGCTGATCGGTTGTCGGCGTCGGCCTGTGAACGGGCAAGACAGGGGAAGGTTTTTGGGTTACAGACGATGGTTTGTATTCCTTCTCCAAACGGCGTTGTCGAAATGGGTTCGACGGAATTGATTCACCGGACGTCCGATTTGATGAACAAAGTCAAGATTCTGTTCAATTTCAACAATCTTGAAACGAGTTCTTGGATATCGGGAACCACCGCCGCTGCTTCCACTGCCGATGAAGGGGAAAACGACCCGTCGTCGATGTGGATTAGTGAGCCGTCGAGTACAATCGCCACCACCGTCCCTTCCGGCGACGTTCCGAGGAAGCTAACCCAATCGGAAAATCATAAACAGAGCCAAAGCTTCTTAAACTTCTCCGACTACGGATTCGAATCAAATCCATCAAAGAGCATCACCACCGACACAACCACCACCACTACCACCACCAACACCCCGTCATTCAAGCCGGAATCCGGCGGGATGCTGAACTTCGGCAGCGGAAATATCTTTTCCAGCCACTCACAGTACATAACAGACGAACAGAACGAAAAAAAGAGATCCCCTCCTTCTAGAAGTAGCAACGACGAAGGAATCCTCTCTTTCACCTCCGGCGTGATCTTACCCTCCTCCGGGAAAGTAAAATCCGGCGACTCCGACCACTCAGATCTGGAAGCTTCCGTGATCAGAGAAGTCGATAGCTGTACAAAATCCATAGAACCGGAAAAACGACCGAGAAAACGAGGCAGAAAACCAGCAAACGGAAGAGAAGAGCCATTGAATCACGTAGAAGCAGAGAGACAACGACGAGAGAAATTAAACCAGAAATTCTACGCTCTCCGAGCCGTAGTTCCAAACGTATCTAAAATGGACAAGGCCTCGCTGCTCGGCGACGCAGTTTCATACATCAACGAGCTCAAATCGAAGCTCCAAATCATAGAAACAGAGAAAACAGAGATGGGAAACCATCTAGAGTTCATCAAGAAGGAGATGGGAGGGAAAGATCTAGGGCATTACACAAACACAATCGATCAAGATCTAAAAACAGGGAACAGAAAAGTAATGGATATAGAGATCGAGGTTAAAATCATGGGATGGGACGCAATGATACGGATTCAAAGCAGTAAGAAGAATCATCCGGCGGCGAGATTGATGACGGCGTTGAAGGATTTGGATTTGGAAATGCTTCATGCGAGTGTGTCTGTAGTGAATGACCTGATGATTCAACAGGCGACGGTGAAGATGGGGAGCAGATGTTACACGCAGGAGCAGCTGAAAATGGCTCTGATCGCCCGGGTCGGCGGCGGCGGAATGATGTAGAGAAGAAAGGGTGTAATTAGGAGTGGGAGGGGACGTTTTTGAGGCTCCCATTAGATAGAGATTAATAGAGGGAATCTAATATTTGGTAGATTTAGATTATTTTTAGCATTTTCTCTTGTTCTTCATCTTTGTATTTAGTGTAATAATTAGAGTTTATGTGTAGCTTTGTTAATTATGGAAACTAAATGGAGGATCAAAGACCTTCGGAGTTATGAAAAAAACACTTCGCTTTTAACGCTGTAACAGCTCAAACTCACCGCTACCAGATATTATTTGTTTTGGCTCGTTATGCATTTTCGTCAACCTCACGGTTTTAAAATGCGTCTGCTAGAGAGAGGTTTTCACACCCTCGTAAGCTTTGACTCGCTACGCATTGCTACCAGTCTCGCGGTTTTCAAACGGGTCTACTAGGGAGAGGTTTCTACCCTCTTCACACCCTGATTGGCTTAGACCCGTTAAGGATCTTCACACCCTGATTAGCTTTGACCCATTAAGTATCGCCTCCACCCTGATTAGCTTTGACCCCTGATTAGCTTTGACCCATTAAGTATCGCCTCCACTCTGATTAGCTTTGACCCATTAAGTATCTTCACACCCCAAGTATCATCTGTCAGCTTCACAGTTTTAAAACAGGTCACGTAGGGAGAGATTTCCACGCCCTTGTAAATAATTCTCTTTTAAAAGAGGTTTGGTAGGAGACGTTTCCACACCCTTGTAAATAACGCTCTATTACCCTCTCTACCCCCTTTGGGGCCAACATCCTCGCTCGCTACCTTTTAGAACAGTCCAAACCCACTATTAGTAGATATTGTCCACTTTGACCCATTACGTATATCATCAACCTCATAGTTATAAAACGTGTTTATTAGAGAGAAGTTTTCACACTCTTATAAGAAATGCTACGTTCATATATCCAATCGATGTGAGATCTCACACTCACACACGTTGATTTTGCACTCCCACTTACAAGAGTATGAAGAGTCGAAACGTTGCCCATTCTAGTTTTAGCATACGACCCATGAATGATAATTTTGGTTGTTTAGGTTTATAAGCTCAATACCTCATTAATGTATTCCAAACACATCATGCTACCAGACACCCAAGAGTGCAACTAATTAGAACACGATTTGTGATGAGTATGCAAAGACGGAAACGATATGCAAATCAGGCTTCCAAGTTCAACAAGCAAACCAACAAGAGGTATCCATAGAAATCGACTAGGTGTTATAACTATTTTAAAATTGAGATGAGAGGCAATAAGAAACCCTAAAATTAGAGGGTTAATTAAAGCGTTAAGGCAATGGAAAGCCCTAAAATTAGAGAGTGGTTACCCTAATTTTGAAACCCTAACTTTCTGTACAAAATTCCCCCAAATTGAATCGCTCCCCTCCGTCTTCCTCCTCCGTAACCATGACTCTGAACTGCCTCTCCTGTCAACTCTTACAGAGAACGGACTCCGAGAGAGACCCCGACCCGCAGCACCAAAACTACTACTCCGTTCAGATAGAGCCGTCGGGGAGAAGCTGGTCCGGCAACCTCTCTTTCCGCCCTCCCGATCGCCCAAAGAAAGAACCGCTTCGAGCCCTGCCTGAGGACCAGGCGCCTCCCGTCGCCCCCCGCCGTCTTCACAGCTCCGGCCCCATCTCTTTGGGCAGCAAGGAGCCGAAGCTGGTTCGAAGCTCCGGGATGAGGAGGGATTGGAGCTTCGAGGATCTCAGAGCCATTCGAGAGGAAAAATAACCGTCTCATACACACACACACACTAGACCCATTCTATTTTTATTTTTTATTTTTAATATATGTATGTGTGTGTGTGTGTATATATATATATATATATATATATACATATACATATACATATAATATATGTATATGTATGTTTTTATTTTGTTTAAATTTCATCACATGTGTTTTATTTGGACTTACAAGGATGAAATAATGTATTATTATAAAAACTAAATTATTATTTTATATTGACTTTTTTTTTAATTTCGAGAATCGAATCGAGGGAGAGATAGAAATAGAAAAAGGAAAAGGACTCGGAATGAAAAAAGTAAATTCAGAAGGACCATTTTGAAATAATTGACGTATAATTTTGTCGGTCTCGAGATAAGTTAATGACTAATTCTTGGAATCATATTCTCGAAAGGACAATTTTTGTATGAGCAATGGTTGTATGCTAACTTGTTTTATTCTTTCGACGAGGACCACTTGGTCATTTTGGATTCATTGTACTAATTGAAAGATTTTATTGTTGATTGGTTGATAACGTGATGATAGATACACGTATATTATCACGTGGTGTGGTGCTTTTGATAGACATGATGTATAATTCTATCAATATTCCGTTGCACTAAAAATTAGGTGAGCCATTACAAATGGTATCAACGGGCAAGCTAGAAGTGGCCTTGAGTCATAAAAAATGGTATTAGAGCCCAACACTGGGTGAAGAGTAGACGATTTATCAGAGCTCGACACCGGATGAAGAGTAGACGAATTTTAAAAGTGTGAGTGATATGAACCAAAAGACATCAACCTTACAATATCCTTCAATGGAGATGTGAAGAAAAGGTTGTCAAAATTATCAAAAAGATGTTTCAATTCATGCCACATTGAAGAAGAATGAAGTTTGATTGTTATAAATTTTGGGTGGGTTATAATTTAGAGTTATTGTATTTCATTAATGTAGTTTAAGACTTTTAATTTACTTTAGGTTACAATTACATAACGGTTAATTATTGCCATTAAGTATGAATGCTACAACTTTTGGAATACCTTTAGTAGTTTCATTTTGAGGCTATATAAAGCCATGTATGTTGTATTTGTAAGAAAGACTTGGAAAATATAGTAAAGAAGCATTTGTGCTTTTCTTTAGCCGATGGCTAAGTTTCTTTGCAATTCTATGTAGTTTAGATTGCATGTAGAATCATTCAAGCTCGACATGATCAATCTTGCTTGTGGAGTGATTCGAATCTCAAACAAGTGTTTGAGATATTTGATCAACAAGAATCATTCAAGCTAGATATGATCGATCTTGCTTGTGGAGTGATTCGAATTTCAACCAAAGTGTTCTTGGCTTGAGATATTCGATCAACAAGGTAATCCGAATCTTATTCCCCTTGTAGTTGATTCCTTATCTTATCAGTGAGGCTGAGGACGATATGTAACGGGCCAAAGCGGACAATATCTGCTAGTAGTGGGTTTGAGTCATTAAAAATGGTATCAACGAGCCAAAATGAACAATATCTGCTAGTAGTGGGCTCGAGCCATTACAAATGGTATTAGAGCCCGGACACCGGATATTCTAACAGTGGGCTTGAGCCATTACAAATGGTATCAACGGGCCAAAGTGGACAAATCTACCAGCAGTGGCCTTGAGCCATAACAAATGGTAACAGTGCTCGACATTGGGTGAAGAGTGGACAAGTTTTAAAACTGTGAGGCTGAGGACGATATGTAACGGGCCAAAGTGGACAATATTTGCTAGTAGTGGGCTTGAGTCATTACAAATGGTATCAATGAGCCAAAATGAACAATATCTGCTAGTAGTGGGCTCGAGCCATTACAAATAGTATTAGAATCCAGACACTGGATATTCTAGCAGTGGGCTTGAGCCATTACAAATGGTATCAACGGACCAAAGTGGACAAATCGACCAGCAGTGGCCTTGAGCCATAACAAATGGTAACAGTGCCCGACACTGGGTGAAGAGTAGACGAGTTTTAAAACTGTGAGGCTGAGGACGATATGTAACGGGCCAAAGCGGACAATATCTGCTAGTAGTGGGCTTGAGCCATAACAAATGGTATCAATGGCCCAAAATGAACAATGTCGGCTAGTAGTGGGCTCGAGCCATTACAAATGGTATCAGAGCTCAACACCGAATATTCTAGCGGTGGGCTTAAGCTATTACAAATGGTATTAGGGGCAGACATCGGGCAAGGACACTGACTCCAAAGGGAGGGAAACAAAGCATTCTTTACGAGATGTGGAAACCTCTCTCTAGTAGACAATATTTTAAAATCATGAGACGGACAATTATACGAGCTAAACCAGACTATTTGTGACGACGCATCCAGGTTAATTTGAGTGGGCCTGCTCTCAAAAGCCCACAAGTACTTAAGAACTTGGGCTCTTTCTCTCTCTTCCATCGCCGGTTGATCTGTAGAACAAATATCTGGCCATAGCATACAGAATCATTCCATTTGTTGATTTTCCTTCAATTTTCCCGTTGACTTCCCAATCAACAATTGGGTTTGGCCTTCTTCGCCTTTTGATCCGATTGTTAGGTTTTTCTTCATATATTTGATCTCTCTCTCCCCTTCGGATTTGGACCTTTTCTTCGTCGTCTCAGATCCTCAACTTCACCGCGTGATTTCTTTCAACTTCCCAGTTCCCACCCTTCGGTCTTCATTTTTGTTCTCCGTCTTCTTCATAGTGTTCAAGACGTCAGAATCCTTGTCTTCTTGAAAGCCTATTTAATTTGGTTGCTCGCAGAGACCATGCGGTGGTCGATTGCTTCACGGACTTTTAAATTGCGGAGGATGATCAAATTAAGGGTATGATTTCGTTTTTCGGCTTTGTGGTTGAATTCTTACTGTTGTGTTCGGCCTGAATCTTGAAATTTCTGCTGAGATTTGATTTAGAAAGTGTTTTCTAGGTTTTCTGTTGGAGGATTGTGATTGTTTAGATTGTTTAGATTGTTAAGAGAAGTGAAAATTGATTTGTTTGGTGTTTTGTTGGGATAAGTTCTTGTGGAAATGGATAGGAATAGGCAGAATGAGAATTTAGGCGTGAACAAATTGGGGAAGAACATTAGGAAGAGCCCAATTCACCAGCCAAATTTTGGAAATAATGCTGCTAGGCCTCAACCCCAGCCACAAATTTACAATATAAGCAAGAATGATTTTAGGAACATTGTTCAGCAGCTTACAGGCTCACCATCTCAGGATCCTCAGCCTCCTAGAGGTCCACAAAATCCACCAAAACCCCAAAGCTTGAGGTTGCAGAGAATACGACCTCCTCCGTTAACGCCGATTAATCGACCGAACATGCCTGCGCCTATCCCTGCCCCTGTTCCTGTGCCTCCACCCCAGGCTCTACTCACTAATAATGTGCCTAGGCCTGCACAATTTGCTCAGCCACCTCCTAGACAATTGCCACCATTGGCACCGGGAGGAGACTCGAATTGGCCGAACCCTGCTGCTGAGTCCCCCATTTCGGCATACATGCGTTACCTTCAAAATTCAATGATGAATCCATCTCCAATGGCGAACCAGTTACCACAACCGCAGATTCCTGGTCAAATGCATCCTCCTCAAGCACCACCATCTGGTTTATTGCCTAATCCTAATCCTAATCCTAATCCTAATCCTAATCCACCTGTTCCTGCTCTTCCACCCTCGAGATTAAACGGTCCTCCACCGCCCGTGCCAAACTTTCCTTCACCGAACTGGAACGCTCCCGCCCTTTTACCGTCCCCAACTTCCCAGTTTCTATTGCCTTCTCCTACTGGCTACTACAATTTGTTGTCCCCAAAATCACCATATCCATTACTCTCTCCAGGAATACAGTTTTCTCCGCCGCTGACTCCTAATTTTGCATTTCCATCCACGCCTCAATCAGGGATCTTAGGTCCAGGGCCTCATCCACCACCTTCCCCAGGGGTTATGTTCCCATTGTCTCCTTCCGGGTTTTTTCCCATCTTGAGTCCAAGATGGAGAGATCAATAACCCTCCGAGCGTTTTCGTGTTTAATCGCTCCATGCCTGCTGACATTTTCATCTGCTTGTGAAGATCGTTACCAAGCTCATGGTGTAAGCTAGCTAGCTGCCCTTTTTCTGTTTTATATCTTTCCATTAGTTTAATCTTTTTAACATTTTAAATTGTAAAATCCTTCTGCTTCTCATTTTGGGTCTGGAAAATCTGATTCTGTAACTTCTGTAATTCCTAGTAGGCAATATATAGTGAAGATCAAGCCACCAAAATTGTAATACTATATGTAACAGGAAGAACAGAGCTGTAACCTTAGACATAGGATCATAGATGTCAAGTTGATAACTTGGTCGGTGGGTCGGTCGGTCTAGTTGAATAATAGTCCAATTCTGTAAGATTGATCGAACGAATATTGTTTGGTATCTAAGTTCTTCTTTTAGCTGGTTTGTTGAGGAAAATGTAGAAGTTGTGCATTTTTTATGCCTTTTTATTGTTCTTTATCATTTCATATTACCCTCTTGTGGCTGTTCTTCCATTCTTGTAGCTGCTTGCTTCTGTTATACAATGTTTAAATGATCATGGGAGTGGCTCTGTTAGCCCTACTGATTGGAAAGGAATGCTTGAAATTGTTTCTGTATAGGGAGATTCAAGCCTTCGTTCGCTATCGGAGAATGTTAAAGTTAACGAGTAATAAACCTAACACGATATCTTGTAAAAGTAGAAATTTTGAGAAGAAATTAGGTGACCGAAGAGATAAATTTATTACTTTCTCCCCGAGCTAAAATAAGGAGGAAAAACAAAAGTCATAAAAAAGTAGAGTTTTCAAATTTGACATTGTAATGTTCGAAGTTCAAGTTTAGTACATTTTGGTCTATACGAACTAGGGTAACATTGTCGGGTTTAAGAACTCGGAAACCAAAATGCTACTTAAATCCAGAATTTGGGGATCGAAAGTGTAATTTTCTCTTCATTTTAAAACAATAAATAAATAAATGTTTGAATATTTGAGGATTTGAAGGGACAAAAAAAATCAAATTAGATTATGAGCTTTCCATTTCAAAGATCCAAAAAAAAAAAAAAAAAAAAAAGTATGAACGAGAAGCAAAAATTCCCTCAATTTATAATAAATTTCTCCTTTTGTAATCTTCTCTCTCATCTTAAATTCTTCCCTCCTCTCTCTCTTCACTTATCATCCCAAAGAAAGGAGTCGAGCCTCCAAAAAAAGGAGACGAGGCTCGATTAAGGAGAGGCTGTTCGAGAGCTCCATAAGTTTCAGAGGTGTACTTTGTTCGAGGGGAGGATTGTTGAGGATTATCGGGAGTGAGTCCCACATTAGCTAATTTAGAGAATGATCTTAGGTAGTAAAGAAATACATCTCCATTGGCATGAGGCCTCTTGGGAAAGCCCAAAGCAAAGCTATGAGAGTTTATGCTCAAAGAGGACGATCAGACCAAAGTGATATTATAACTAATTCAACGAGTTAAGTTTATGGTTAGATCATAAGCATAATCCGATCTGATCCAAACCTTTACACACTTTTAGGTCGGTTGATCTCGAGCCTAGTCCAACCCTATTATCTATATGCGCGTTCGGTGGGTGTGGTGCGCGTAGTATGAATGAAAATGCATTATTTATTGGGCAAGTTGGCAAGTATGCAAGGGGTCTAAAATTGGGCCCTCCCCATCCCAATTATGCAATTCCATTTAAGTGTAGCACTCATAGACAAGAAGAAGGCCACAAACAATGCAAATATTGTTTCTCTCTCCTAATTTGAGATCATGATTTAAAGTTGCATCACTTTCACACCTATCACCTTCACCACCTCCCTAATTCCCATTTCTCTCTACCTAAATTGTGTGAGCGTAGGTCGAGAAAACGTAATCGATAGCTTATGCGTTGACATTGAATATCTTTTATGAATCAATTTATGTTTGTTATAGCATTGCTGTGGATCGCGTGTTACCTCCCCGTCAATACAAAATAGTTTCTAGATAGTGCAGGTGCTTCCCTCTACGATGGAATGCTTCCCTACTGATGCATTTTTACATCCCACAGTTTCGATAGATCACTTAGTCCTGCCCTGTTCATCTTCGGCACAAGAGCGCTCGATTAGTGAGCTATTACTCCCTCTTTCAAAAGTGATTGCTTTTAGTCTAACCTTTTGGCTATCTCTGCACCTCTACCTTCTTTATCACTCAGCGGTCATTTAGGGGTCTTAGCTAGTGATTTGAGCTGTTTCCCTACAATGATGAAATTTATACCCATCGTCTCACTAGCCGACCTTGACCCATGTTATTTTGAGATCATATTTAGTATCCAGAGTTTTGAACATTCAACTTATGATTTATGGGTATTATTTTATCACCGATCTATCGTAGCAAATACGTATGTATGTGTGTTGACGACGGTAAGAATCTCGTTATCAGATGAAGCTAGGAATTCAACTCGGGTGCAATTTAATATCCAATGTTGGATGTTGACTATTTCAATTTCCAAAATCTAAACAAAATTAAATTGAATGGTTGATATATGATGAATTGTTTGAAGGGGTTAGCCCTTATGACCCACATGCATGAACATACCCTTCCTTTTTCATACACATCACTTTAAAGGTGATTTGAGACATGAAGGAAAAAAGAAAAAGGTTGAAAGTTATTAATTTTTTAGGAAATCGACTCTCGATCGTTTGAAATCGAGACGTCCCATAGTTTTGCTATTCAAAAACCTCTATATCTAAAGCTCATTTTCCTTTAATGGGATGTTGACTTTTTACCTCTCGATATACGCATTAAGAAACTAAACACCAATTACGCGAACTCAGATTTTCGAAAAATTTAATATAACATTCCATACACATGGTCTGGATTCCGATTTAAACTTCAAATGTAATATCTAATGACCCCGACATTTCTCTGCATGCCCTACGACATAACCATCACCTACTTATTGCTTTTAAGAGTAAAAACTACACAAACATAGTTCTAAACTAAGAACTTTAACTATGAGATTCTTATGATTAACGTTGTTTGAATGTGATATCGATTCATTATGTGTCTCTCATTTGTTTGAAGGTCAAACGTGAACGAGTGGGTTGTATTTTTTATTTTGAATTCTTAATTAGTTAGGCACAACATTATTAACAAAGATTCCTTGTGGTACAAGTAGGATATTACCATTTAGTCTATTAATTTATTTAATGAGTTTTGCAAATTATAAAAGATTTTTAGCATTTAAAGAGCTTTTCAAATAATAGCCGTCCTATCATCAATCCATCTCAATTATTACAATAAATAAATAAATAAATATAGCTAATTTTAAGGATGAAATAAAATCAAATAATTCATAAATAAATAAATAAATAAATAGCTCAATTTCACTGAGTTCAATAAATATTTGTTCGACGTATGTATTTTATAAAATGGTTTACAAATGTAGAATGAAATTTTAAAATACATAATTATATTAATTTTTTTTAATAAATATAAAATTAAATAGGTTAATTTGTTATTTATTTTTTGAGTTCTAATAGGTTAATTATCTCTACCATTAAAGAATAATTTTATGATAATTTTAATTTCACAATTATTCCACGATGATCAAATACTCTTGAAATATTTTACACAATAAAATAAATAAAAGAGAAGAAATTTACTAAACGACGCCGTTTCGGGAGCTTTGTACACCGCAATCCAAGCCCACTTGTCTCTTGGTGCCCTTGACTCACCTGTTGAAATCAAGGACATTTTCGTACTTTCCACAAACCGAAAAAATTAAACCAAAAGAAGCAGAAAAATCCAGAATCTTCCAAGAAAATGATCGAGACCAAAACTCGAGAAGATGAAGATGAAGATGAAGATGAAGATACACAAAATCATCAAGAAAAATTAATATCAACCGATCTCAAATTCATTTTCGTTTCCAAATTTTACTTGTTCTTGATTCGGAGAGATGTTCATTGTTTAGATCGGTGGAAGAAGATTTACCGATTATCTCCACGATTCATCGCTTCGGCGACGGACGCCAATTTCTGTAGATTCAGTTTCACAACCGTATCCGCGAACAAACGAGCATCCTCCTCCGTATTCCCCGGCGGAACATCCACCGCGTACGATTCCAAAACCACGCTCCAGATCTTGCCGTCCCGCTCCAACTGATGCACCGAAGTCACCGAACGGTAATTCCGGAGGCGGTGCTCACCGCCGATGATGCTGAATCCGATGACGCGCCGCTCGTCGTCGTGAATATCGAGTCTCTCCTTACTCGTATCCGCTGGTAGGCCTGAGATTACATTAACCTCTCTCGTACAACCTAGCTTCATTGTGAATCCTTCGCTCACCGTACAGCTCTTGATGAAGTGCTTGTAACTCTGCGGCTTGTCGAACCGCCGTACGATGGACCACACGGTATCCGGCGGCGCCTGCACGCGCTGCGCCAGTAAGGAGGAGCACCGGCCGCGGCTGAGTTTGTACATGTGGAACTCCGCTACTAAGTCCCTCAACTCGTCGAACTCGTCCTGAGTCAGGCCGGAAGGCGTTGCGGCAAGATGATAAGTGGTGAGATAAGTTTCATCGGAGTTTGGCTGCTGCTGCTCCGTCACCACCGCCGAGACCTCACCGTCGCCTTCGCCGCTGTAGTCCTTTTCCATTTTCCCCCCAAAATCTTCTTCTCACGCCTTTCTTAATTTTTTTGCGGAATATAAAGATGAGTGAGAGGAAGAAGAAAGAGCGTCAGGACCTCACCTCTTTTTTGTTTCATTATTTGTTCGTTTGTGATTTCGATTGCTGAGGGTAAAATGGGAATATCAAAATATATGTTTTCAATATTTAACTACGGGATGATATATGTCTAAACCAATTGAAACAACTCGGGTTAATTTATGTTTTTCAATTAAACACGACTCCATATGTACCACAGTGTGTACTACTATTAGCCTTCGCTCGAGGTTTCTTCGGGCCAGACGGAGATTGGCCCTCGAGTGCAAAGGCAGAAGGGAGTTTGACTGCAAGACCCACTCGTCGATTAGGGACGAAAGTCGACCCGACGGTGCTGAGTGGAAGGGCCATCGCTCAACGGATAAAAGTTACTCTAAGGATAACAAACTGATCTTCCCTAATAGCTCACATCGACAAGAAGGTTTGGCACATCAATGTCGGCTCTTCGCCACATGGGGTTATTAATCAATAATTATTTTTTATTTTTAAAATTTATGTTTGTTTATTTCTAATTTTTTAAAATAAGGTTCCGTGTTTTTCAATTAATGCTAATTCTAAGTGTACCTGTTGCTATCATCTCGACTAGTGGTAACGTGTCCAAGTATACCTGTCACTACTGCATTAAAGTTACTAGCACCTCGATTAGTAGCAACGTTTGTTCTCTCTTATTGACCAGTTTCGAGAAAAGAATTTACACGACTTAAACTTAAGGGTCGGAGTCTACCTCCTCGTGGCTCCTCTGAGGGTAGTTATTCGTCATGTGACCCGACCTTGACCTTTGCTTAACACTGGCTCGAATGATATCTACGACATTTTTTATTCAACTTTTGATGCAATTTGTTGTTTAAAAAAAAAAAAGAAATTTTTTTCCCTTTTTTTCAATTAAAAAATGGCTTAATTTTTATTTAATTAAAAAAAAAAACTTTTTGCTTTGATTTGCACATCAAGCATCCAATTGAATAATGTGATTGGTTAGCAGCCATCACCAATATCTCTTTTTTATTCCTTTTCTATGATATAAATATTATTTTACCCCATCAATAAAGAAATTATAAAAAATTATGATATTTAAAAAAAGAATAAATCTTCGTATAATTACGAACGTACATAAAGAATCCACATCTAACTTTGCCTCATTTTCTCGATGCCTCGAAACCAACCCTACACTGTCTTATCAATACCCTATACCGTCTGAACTCCAAATCATACTTTTAATCATTCAAAATCACTATAATGCATATCATCCGTACACTGTCTGATCGATACCCATGCTTTTAATCATTCAAAATCACGATAATGTTTAGTTTTACACGTCTACTCGTAGTTTTCATATTATCAAAATCGATTCGAATGATTAAAAACATGTTTAAGAGAGATTTGAACGTGACAAATGAAGAATTTTAATGGTTCAATCAAATATCGGAAGGAATACATAACTCGATCAGATTCATAATCATCCCAAGCTTGATCTAGTGATCTCATAAGCCAGGAAACAAGCTCCATTTGCAGGTATACTCCTGGCCATGGCAGGGCCAAAGCCTTTGTATAGCCCTTTAACTCCTTCCGCCGCTAGGATCTTTCTAAATGCATCGATAGAGCCCGAGTACTTCGGGTTTTTGTAATCGTCTACTTGAATTACACTCTTGACGACGTCGGTTGGGTAGACGGAGAACCAGAAGGTAGCTCCAGCCAATCCTCCAGCCACGATCAGCGAGCCTCTTCCGAGGTTTGAAGTGTCTGTACCACCTGCAAACTGCTGCTTTAGCAACTCGTACACTCCGAACATGGCAGCATTTCCAGGTACTTCACGGGCTAGAGTCGGAACGAGTCCCTTGAATAGACCCCTTGTACCACCTTCCGACTTGAGGACGTGTCGAGCAACGTCCATTGGCCCGCCATACTTCACTGTTACACCAGCTGAACTGGATTGTCCCAATGCACTTTGAGCTTGCAATCTGTAACAGCAGACCATCTTTTATAGTTAAGGCGGGGTGGTAAAGCGATTTGAATAGAATCGACACGACGAACCTGCATTTGATTAATTCAGTAGGGCAAGCGAGAAATGACACAGCAATCCCAGCCCCAGCTCCACAAACCACCTGCTGATTGACAGTTAGGGGAACGCCGGGTTGAGACCTTAACTGTCCTTCCAGTTGTCCTCTAACCGAAAAGAGAACGGCATTGAAGGCTGCCACAGTCGCGAGCGGAGCTCCCATACCTTTGTACAACCCTCGAGGGCCTTCAGCTGCTATAGTCTGCTTGACAGCATCCATGGCGCCAGAGAACTTGGGAGGCTGGCCAGGAAGTGGAACAGGCTGGCTTTGCAGCTTGACCTTTATCGTATCGAACGGGTGCCCACATATCAACTGTGATGCTCCTCCGACCGTCCCGGCTGTGAGGTCCTTGGCCACGTCTCCCATCTTACAGATTCAAATGTTATAATTCACTGGTCAGCTGTGAGACAACAATGGAGTTTTTGAGTCCTTTTGAATTGGTGAATCTGAAACATTAGGTATGTGAGATATCCAAACAAATGAGTAATACAAGAAAAAGATCCTTCATCAGGAAATGAACCCACATGACAACCTTCAGTTCAAGTTTACAAACTTGTGTTATGTGCCCTTCAAAGTTACTCGCTTCCTGTCGGTTCGTTTTTTTACTTATAGTACTCCCGGGATGGTAAAAGGTTAATCCATATACGCATCGGTTGGAGATTAGCGCATATAACAATAATTTGCTCCAAAGGCCAGCTAAAACCAGATGAAATTTGAGATCTCACGTCGGTTGGAGAAGGGAATGAATCATTCCTTATAAGGGTGTGGAAACCTCTCCTAATATACATATTTTAAAACTTTGAGGAGAAGCCTAAAAGGGAAACCCAAATGGGACAATATCTACTGTTGGTGAGCTTGGGCGGTTGCAAATGGTATCAGAGCTAGACCGAGCGGTGTGCCAGCGAGGACGCTAGGCCCCAAGAGGGTGGATTGTGAGATCCCACCTCAATTGGAGAGGGGTACAAAGCATTCCTTATAAGGGTGTGGAAACCTCTCCCTAACAGACACGTTTTAAAACCTTGAGGAGAAACCCATAAGTGAAAACTCAAATAGGACAATATCTAGTAGCCCGGGCTGTTACAAATGGTATCAGAGTCAGACATCAGGCGGTGTGCTAGAGAGAACGCTGGCTCCTTAAGGGGGTGGATTGTGAGATCCCACATTTGTGGAAACCTCTCCCTAACAAACACGTTTTAAAACCTGGATGGGAATTCCAGAAGGAAAAGTCCCCAGAGAACAATATTTGCTAGCCGTGGGCTTGAACAGTTACAAATAGTATTAATGCCAGACATTGGACGGTGTGCCAGCAAGGACGCTGGCTCCTAAAGAAGGATGAGTTGTGAGATCCCACGTCGATTAGAGAGAAGAACGAGTGCTACAGAGGACACTGGCCCCAAAGGGAATGGATTGTGAGATCCCACGTCCGTTGGAGAGGGGAGCGTGGAACCCTCTCCCAAGCAAACCAGTTTTAAAAACAATCAATCAATCTCCATAAACAATCAGAAATCAGATTAGTTCTTTACACAACAGAAGCAACCTTACTTAGCAAGTCATCCAAGCAGCAGTAGAAACACTATTTTGCAAAGAGCCACACAATTATGAACTTGGAATTAAACAGGTTTCATGAACTGCTATTCCTTTCAAACAGGACAACTACAAAATCGCCTGTAATGCTAAGTAGCTGCATTCTGAATCACAGATACATTTGGGGAACAACAAAGATCCAATGAACTCTAAACAACTTTATTCATTCTATGATCAAATGTGATTATCAAACAACAGTCAACATTTCACATCAGAAACAGGAAGAACCTTACCAGAACAAAATTTCAGCAACACCCAGATACAAAACTCGAACAAGGAATCAAAACTCAACAGGATTCAACGATGAAATCTGATGAACAAAAAGCAATTAGAACCCCAGAAACAAAGAACAAATGGAAAGATCAAAATCGGGGGAGTGAAGAACAGGATTGGAGTGGCCACGATGGGTTGTGGGTGAGATTAGAGAAAGGGGATCTTAAAAGGGGCGAAAACCCAGAAAAATGGGAGTGAATTTGGGCTTCACAAGATGAAGAAGAGGCAAACGTGGCTGAGAGAAGCCCAAAGAAGAAGACAATTCTTGAAATCTTACCCTTTGATTCTTCTCTACCACCCAGTTGGGTTGAATCCAACGCATGCTTATGGCGGCACAGAGAGGAGAGAGAGAAGTAATTTGACGTTCTTAGCTGTTCATCATCTTCTTGGGCTCGGTTTTGTATGATGAACGATTCACTCAATTTTCTTCTAATTTCAATTCATAATTAATCATTATCCCTAAAATTTCTATGTTTGTGTTGGAAAGTCAAACAAAAATTGAAAAGTTATGACTTATTATTATTTTTTTTAGTAGAATAAATACGACCCAAACGGATTTGAATCTGTGATGTCAAGAGAATGAATACACAACGAATTACGGCTCTGTTCAACTTCGGAAATTTAAGAGTTTGTTAGACATTTTTTTGTGTGAAATTTCACATTAATTGGCGTGGAAAAAGGGTGTGGTAACCTTTTCGAAATAGACACGATTTAAAATTACGGGCCGAAGTAAACAATATCGGCGATTGTTCGACGTAGACTATTACAAATGGTATTATAGATAGACACTGACACGAGTTGATGTGCAAGCGAGGACGTTGGGCCTAAAAAAGGTAGATGGTGAGGAATCCAAAAAAAAGAAAAAACTAAAACCCTAAAGGACAAAACCCATTTCGCGGTTTGGTTGTCTCTCCTTTCCTTGTCTGTTCACTTGTCACTAACCACTGATCGAACAAATTAGCAACACGAATCACTGAACCAACAATTTCCTTTTTCTTGCTTCTTCCTTTATAAATCCAAACAAAAATCGAAGAACAAGAAAGGATTCTTTCTCCGTTCTTCCCACATTCCCCCATCTGATTTTCCGCCATGGATTCACGAGAGAGGTCGATGCCTTCTGTTCATCAACATCACCAACAATCAACTCCACCAAACAGGATGATGGGCAACGCTTCCTATTCCACAAATTTACCCAATACCAACAATTCTTCCCAAATGATCAACCCCAATTCCGCCGCTGCTCAAATCATGTCCTCCGCCTCCCGATTTCCCTTCAACTCCATGATGGGGTCCGCTTCTAAGCCCTCCGACTCTCCCAATACGGCTTCTTATGATGGATCGCATTCCGAATTGCGGACTGGTGGGTTTAACATTGATTCCGGGAAGAAGAAGCGAGGCCGACCCAGAAAGTATTCCCCTGATGGGAATATCGCCTTGGGTTTAGCGCCAACAACCATCACTAATTCCGCCGTTCCCGGCGATTCTTCCGGCATGAACTCCTCGGATCCTCGCCCTAAGAAGAACAGAGGACGGCCTCCCGGTACAGGGAAGAAGCAAATGGATGCTTTGGGTAGTCATCTTTATGCCTTTGCTACTGCTTCTTGTTTTTTTGTGCCTTGAATAATGGTGTTATTCCGGTGGACAGGGACTGGCGGTGTTGGCTTTACTCCGCATGTCATTCTGGTGAATCCAGGAGAGGTATAAGCAACTTGTTTTGTTTTGTATATTATATTGCTGATGAATTTGATTTGATCTTATCTGTTTTCTTTCAAATTTTTATTGTCTATTCAATGGTATTCAATATTATTTATTCCCTCGGTCGATCTTTTGGGATTCTATTGCAGAACATAACATTAGTTCATTAAATCAAGTGAGCTGGGAGCCTGTTTGTTTAAGATAAGATATTAAGATTCTACAATCATGGTAGATTTAACACTGGCTGATGCACCACAACTCCTTGAGAATGTGGATGTGTAAATGTGTAAGTATACACGATTATACGGGCAAGTTTTCGGGGTCTGATGCTTAAGTTTTTTTTTTCTTTTTTGGATAAACTGTTATACGTTTCAAAGTGTTGTTCACGTTCCTCTTTGGTTTTGCATTGAATTGGATCCACGATTTGTAGAGTTCAATATTGTGATTTCTTGTCATTTTTAATATGTAATGTTAATATTTGATCATCCAAAGTCAAAACAGTTCCCTAAACCTCGTTTCAGAGTGGAGCTTTGTTATGAACTGTACATGTTGATGGTGATTGTAATTAGGTTCGAGAAGACACTTCATCACTCAACAACCTCTTATATTGGTGTTTTCAAGACTTTTCGACATTGTAGAAGTCTAGAATTGTGTGGTGCGAGGGAGGAGACTGGTCTATTAGTTGGAGGAGAATTTGGACTGGTCGGGAAAGAGAAAAAAAGACTTTCCTTGAAGGAGCTTTTGAGGAGCTTTCTAGTTCAGTTTGGTTTGATTCCATTCCTTGGGTCTTTTGCTAAATCTCGTTCTTCCATTTACCAAGCGATATCCCATTCAGAGATATCAACAAAGATATTTGGCATATGAAACTCTAAAGATATCTTTCGCTTGTGTTATCTTCGTCACTAATTGGTTTGTTTTTCTGGTAGGATGCGTCTTCGAATGCTCCGTTTGTTCTTTTTAGATGAATTTTGAGTTTCTTCTGGTGTTCATCTGCTTTAGATTGTGATTACCTCTTTTGCTCTGATAATATTTTAAAACAATGCAGTTCTTTCTTCTTTAAACCTTTATGCAAATTGATCTGTTCTGGAAGGCAAGAAATTTAAGGCCTTCAATCCTTTTTTTGTCGAGCAGCTTCATATTTCTTTAATGATTTTATCGTATATTGTTAACATATTGTCATACATTCTAGCAAATGTTATTCGGAAACATGTGCTCTTTTTTATTTTTTGGATGTTCATGAACGTGAGGGCATGTTTGCACACATCAACATTGTTCTGATGCCAAATTTGGATAACTTTCTGATGTCAAATTTGGATAAATTTGTATATCTTTTAAGACTCATACGATCGTTCATAAATATAGTTTTGTCAGTCAAGTTTAATATCGAGATACTTTTTGAATTCAGAATAATCCTCTTATATGATTTTAGAGAAGTTTTCCATGGTACAGATTTGTGCGTTTTTGAATGTGTTTTCGTAGTTTGCTCCCCTTCCTTAAGATGGATATGGGTTTATTAGTTTGAAGGTTAATTGATACTTGTTTTAAACAGGATGCCTTTTCATTGGTTTGCAGGATATTGCCTCAAAAGTTATGTCATTTTCACAGCAGGGGCCGCGAACCATTTGTATTCTCTCTGCCCATGGTGCTGTTTGCAATGTTACCCTTCACCAACCCGCAGCTGGTAGTGTGACATATGAGGCAAGTTTTTAATTTTCCTAAGTTATACGGTCTTGATGTCGATTAACTGTACCGTCCTGCACATTAACTTACAAAACATAGAAAGATCCATGTGCGAGATTTGCTTAAGCTTATGTGCATATGCATACACATCATGTTCTTGTTTATTAATGCTGTCACCCGTCATCTACTCTCGATTTTGGTTTTCCTTCGGAGCGTGAGTCACTTTACATCGAACGCTTGTAGATTGTAGCTCAGGCTAGCTATCCTATTCCTGTATGTACTCTTTGCCTCTCTTAACCTTCTTGCCGTAGCTTGTTCTAGTACATAATGAGTGCATGGTGTTGGTCACCCCTGACCAGCCGTTCGGGCTTATCTATATGGAAGTTAAGGTAATCTCCTCTGTTTTAAATATGTATAGTACTTGTAGTGTATCTTATCCGTTTCTTTTCGAGCGTCCTAAAAGAAGGAAAAGTTAGCATTGACCATTAAGGATTTTAGCCTTATGAAGGTGTGACCAAAAGGTGGTTGCAGAAAGAATCCCCTAAGATTTTGGGAGCACACCAGGAGTGATTGAAGGTAGAGGTCAAATAGTATTAGAAAGCAGTGACAAGGGGGCAGGGGATAAACAAACGTTTTCCGTCTTGTTCTTACATAGCACATACGACCGACTAGGGGCTGACTGGTTTTCGTAGAAAAGCTTCTAGATGAACATCTTGACTTTCTTAGTATGAGATTCATTCCAAATCTACTTGCAACGGTGTAGGATTTGAGATTCCATGGCTATTTCTTCAAGGAGTGACTCACAAGTGACTATATACCAATGGAGTTTAGAGCGAAACTATTTATCTCGAGGCAAGTTAAGGCAAGGGTCATTAATGAGATACTCGAGGGAGGAGGTTGCAACCGTTCTACTTTTTCCGATCCTTTATTAAAATTCAGAAATAGAAATACTAATAATCTACCCTAACAAAGGAACTATGTCCTAAGTGCGGAAAACTTGACTTTATTCCATAGCCTTCTCAGGTGGCGCTGTCTCCCTTGCCTTTATTTGAAAAAATGATCCATAGGATGAGTATTTACAAATACTCATTAAGTGACCTTTTTTGGTTGGAAAATGCAATCGCATGCAACGTGGTTCATGACTAGTGGGACTTACTTTTCTTGACTGTTTCTTGGTCTCTACTTTCTTTTCTAGATAAGGTTGAATGCATGATATTTCTCTATACAAGGTTTATACACGCATGCATGCACTCACTAGGTGGGGTCGTATATATACCCTAGGTTTAACAATGGGCTAGTGCACATTTACACTGTCAAAAGCCAACAGAAAAGACACGAGCATGTATAATATCGTGGTGTACGCGTGCGTACGTAACATACTGGAGAAATAATTAATATTTGTGATATATAACATGCATGAGGTACTGCATTTAAAATCACGATACAATGTTATGATGTACATAATACTTCAATACTTTTCATGACATGAATTCATTATGCTCGTTATATATGGCATGTCATAGCATCTCATAGGGCATAAACATAATTATAGCAATATAACAAACATGAGCAAAAATAAAAAATAAGATAGAATAATTTCACTTAAAAGAGCCATAGGATACGTGATAATTCATGTTTCAATTCATCCAACTTGATAATCATGTTTCAATTCATCCAACTTAGCCCATAGGCGTTCCGACATGAAATCAACTTACAAGGTTATCCTAAGCTAATGTCACTCACTTTTCTCTTAGCTGGCAGTAGCCTAGTAATTTAGTTGTGGTCCAATTCCACCTATAATGTCCATGGCTTCGAACTTAGAACACATTCAAGAAACTAACTCGACCTAATTCTTCTAAATTGATCTAAAATAGTTCTAAATACATCAAATTTGAAAAATCATTGCTTTACTGGTCTCAATTGCCTTCAATTACTTAAAAAACAGTTCTATAATGATCCATAGTGGTAGTACAAGGTCAAAAATCCAAAACAAAGCTGCCGATTCTAAACATTTGGATGGCGTCTCGGCTCAACGGCTTCCTTGGCTTAGACAACTTTGTTTGGGTTTTGACCCTATTTCACTATTTAGGACCATTTCGTAGCTGATTTTGAAGTAATTGAAGACATTTGACGTTAGTAAGGCTATTGTTTTGCCAATTTGATATATTAAGAGTTGTTTTGGATCAATTTAGGAGAATTAGGTGAAACTAATTTCTTGTATGTGTTCCAAGTTTAATGCCATGAAACGTCATAGGTGGAATGAGACCACGACAAATACAATTAGGTTATTACCAACTAATGGAAGTAAATGACATTGGCTTAGGCTAACACTGTAAGTCGGTTTACTAAATGACGAACTAGATTGGATGAACTGAGTGAAGTATAGATTGGATGAAGAATTGAGCAAAGCACGAATATCATGTAAACTATGACTTTTTTATGTGATATTATTCTATCTTATGATGTTGGAGTGAGCCTTCGTGATGCATGTACTTCCTGATCTTTACTCATGTTTACTATATCACTATGATTATGTTTATATGCCCTATGGAGATACTATGACGCACCATGTATGAACATGTAAGCACGTCTCATTAGGAACTCATGTCTGAAAAATATGGAAGTACTATCACGTCATTACATTGTACCCTGATTTTCAATGCAGGACCTCATGTATGTTGTATGTCACGAGCGTGAATTACTTCTCTAATATGTTACATACGGATGCGTGACCACAATATTAAGTGCTCTCTTTTTTTTTTTTTGTTGGTTTCCAGTAGCGTGAGTATGTGCTAGCCCATAGTCAGGCCTAGGTGGTATGTATATGAGCCCGCCTAGTGGACTCTTACGTGCGTTCGTGAACTATTTATAGATAAGCATTATGCATCTAACCCTTCTTGAAAAAGAGAGTAAAACCTAAGGAATAGTTAGGAAAAGTAAGTTTCACCCGCCATGAACCATGTTGTATGTAATTGCATTTTTTGACCTCAATAGTGGAGTTGCTTACTGAATATTTTTAAATACTCATCTTATGTCTATCATTTTTTCCCGTAAAAACAAGAGCATCATGTACCAATGTCACGGTGGAGGCCATTGAATAAAGTAGATTAGTAGCATTTTTATTTCTGAACTTTAATTGAGGATGTTTTCTTTCCTATTTCGATTATGCTTGCAATATTTATGAACCTTTTAAGTCTATGATGAAATGTTTTAAATGATTTTCTTCACATAGTAGTCATTGACGTACATGTAGAATATTTGAACGCAAGAAACGGAATAATGTTCCATTTCTCAATCACTCAAGTTTCTTCTTTGGGGAGCATTTATCTTTTTTAGTGTCTCCATCCTTTTCAAATGCTTTAGAATATTTGAACGCAAGAAACGGAATAATGTTCCAAATGATTGATATGCTAAGGGATGAGCTTTGAGACTGGTATTCTTGTAGCTTCTTCTGGGTATATTTTTGTGAGAATCCCATGGTGTGTGGAGAGGAGAACGAAACACCCTTTATAAGGGTGTGGAAACCTTTCCCTAGCAGACACGCTTTAAAGCCTTGAGGGAAAGCCCGTAAGGGAAAGCCGAAAGAGGACAATATCGGCTAATGGTGGGCCTGAGCCATTACAAATGGTGTTAGAGCCAGACATCGGGCGATGTGTTAGCGAGGAGGCTATTCCCCGAAGGGGGTAGACATGAGGCAGTGTGTTGGTAAGGACGTTGGGCCCTGAAGGGGGTGGATTTGGTGAGGGTCCCACATCGATTGGAGAAAGGAACGAGTGCCAACGAGGACGTTGGGCCCCTTGAGAGGGGTGGATTGTGAAAATCCCGCATTAGTTGGGGGAGGAGAACGAAACACCCTTTATAAGGGTGTGGAATCCTTTCCCTAACAGATGCGTTTTAAAGCCTTGAGGGGAAGCCCGCAAGGGAAAAAGAAGACAATATCTGCTAGCGGTGAGATTGAGCCGTTACAATTTTCTTTACTCTTTTGCAGCTTTTTATCCATTAAATATGCTTCATATTCTGTTGGCTTGGTTGTGAGGGTTTCAACTTTTTGCACATCTTATTTATCCATTAAATATGCTTCGAAAAGCGAGAGAAAAAGAAGCACGTGCACTCAACGCAGTTCGTTTTTAATGCATATAAGCATTTGTTCTGTATCACTAAAACCTCAAAAAGTTTCTATTGCTTGTCAAAGGAAAAAGAACTTAATCTAGTTGTAGTTTACCCGAACGTTAAGAAAAATTCTTTTGGTGGTCTCGACTCAAGAAATGAAGTAAAAATAAAATCTATTCTAGCTGTATTATTTTCGTTACACGCAAGGCATCATCAATTCTATTGCTTCAAAATCTAATGCAGGGCCGCTACGAAATCATCTCTCTATCAGGTTCCTTCTTGATTTCCGACAATAATGGTAATCGAAGTCGAACCGGTGGTTTAAGTGTGTCTCTAGCAAGTGCAGATGGTCAAGTTCTTGGTGGAGTGACCAACATGCTAACAGCAGCATCTACAGTTCAGGTATTAGCCTGACATAATGTTGATATTTCCCTTTCTAGATGGATTTTGTGCCTTAAACCATGTCTTTGGTGCAAAATCAGGTCATAGTCGGTAGCTTTCTCGTCGATGGGAAAAAGCTAGGCGATAATATACAGAAATCTGGGCCATCTTCGACATCACCCAATATGTTAAACTTTAATACACCCGTGGCAGCAGGCTGTCCGTCTGAAGGCGCTTCAAATAACTCATCCGACGACAATGGTGGAAGCCCTTTAAGCCGGGGGCCGGGAATGTACACCAACGCCAACCAACCAATTCATAATATGCAGATGTATCAATTATGGGGTAGTCGAAATCAATAATGAAGCTGCTTGCTCGCCCAACTTAACAGTGTACTGCATTCGGTGTCGTCGAAGGGGTTAGTGTTTTGCATCTCGATGTATAGAGGTTAGTCCTGGATTCTGTCCCTAACATGAATTGCGCAAACCGTAACCGTAACGTTTCTAGATTCTCTATTGATGTTTCAGCTGCTGGTTAGCTTTATTTATAGTCAGTTCAAATTGCCTTCTTTAACATTACTCCATGAACGAGGAGTTTCTGAAGATTGTGGTAAATCATATACAGATTGGGATGTCTCCTTTTCTCATGGAAAAGCCATGAAGTTGAGTTCATATGATATGATATTCATTTAGGTTCATATCAAGATTGTCCCTATTAATTCAATTTTAATATCATTTTTAGGAGAATTCTTTAGTTTCTTTGGATTTTGTTGCTGAAATAGGTGATTCTGTGATCTAGAGCTATGTGTAAAATTCAAAATTCATTTGTGCACCATATATGATGTTCTGCTGACCCTATTAGACATGTATAAACTGTATTTGATCTCGGTTCTAAACATAATTTCATTAGATCGTTTCGACAATTATATGTTGAACGTATATCGTTTTGTATCGAGCTGACAGGTTTTAGGTCAACCGAAGTGGAACTTCATGGTTACGTGATCAATGACCTTCTTGTAAGAGTTGAAAGGCTCGTTAACCTGTCCTAGCGTACTCGTTAACCTGTCCTAGCGTACTCGTTAACCTGTCCTAGCGTACTCGTTAACCTGTCCTAGCGTACTCGTTCAAACGGGTTTTTTTCTTGACTGCTACAGATGTGAGATCTCATGGTGGGTGGAGAGGAGAACAGAACATTCCTTATAAGGGTGTGGAAAATCTCTTCCTAATAAATGTGTTTTAAAAATGTGAGGCTGACGGTGATACGGGCAGAAGCGGATAATATATACTAGCGGTGGGCTTGGGCTGTTACAAATGGTATCAGAGTTAGACATTGGGCGGTGTGCCAACGAGGACATTGAAGGAGGTGGATTGTGAGATCCCATGTCGGTTGTGGAAAGGGGAATGAACCCTTCTTTATAAGGGTGTGGAAAACCTCTCCATAGTAGACGAGTTTTAGAACCGTGAGGTTGACGGCGATACTTACGAGTTGAAGTAGACAATTGCTACTAGTAGTGGGCTTGAACTGTTACAACAGATCTCACTTTTCCATGAGATTTGTTCGTGTTTCCAATTGGGATTTCTTGGTATTTCCAGGTGCCACTCTATGAACATGGCTGTCTTCTTCTTTTGATGTTAATGCCCCCAGCCATCATCTGTTTACGCATTGCTCCTGATTTCCCTCGGTCAAACCCAGATTGGTTAGCCCTCACCTAAGCCATCTCTCTGTTTTTCCGAGCCCATCATCTGTTTGCGCCATCATAACGGATTGAAAACACCAAGAAACCTTGGAACAAACCATGAAATATAGGGATTTAATCTGATTCTATCGCTTATTTTGGGTAATTATCGTGAAAAAGTTATACGAACATACAATAATTTTCAAATCATAGCTTAGGGGTTGTGCATCGGAAAATTCTTTATATCAGAACACATCATAGTATGTTATAACATATCATGGCCTAACATGTTCATATCATATTACATCATAATATTTCATAATATAACATTAACATTTCATTTATATCATGATGTTATTTGGCATATCTTGGCATATCAAATAGCAACTCTAATCATATCATCAAACATATGACATATGTAGGGCTACTGGTTATGTGTCATCATACACAATTTTCCAACCAAATTGATAGGAGAGTCACTTACTTGGTTAGCCTATGTCGAAGCTACTACGACTCCTTGATGCTAGCTTAAAGCTCTCTCTAAAATTTAATTTATGTAAGGAGTCTCATAATCATAAATTAGAATTCTATTGTGGGAATTGACCCACTTAATTTTGCATAAAACAATTTAAACTAGCTAAAAGGTAGTCATACTGACCTTAAACGCTTTCGAAGAGTTGAAACTAGTAGGAAAGAGTCCGAACATATAAAATCCAAGTCGGATCAGTCAAAATATCAGCATAGAGTCGTCAGAAAATGTATTCTCCGACTAGTTTTGAACTCTTTAAGTGAGATGAAAAGTAGAGACATTTCTTTGGAACCCAATTGGACAACTTTTTTTTTTTTTTTGGGTTACAATTATCGTTGAGTTACGTTCTTTCACGGTTAAAATCACGGGTTTGATAAATGTTGAACTAAAAAAATGTTTTTTTGGAATATACCTTCTTGTTTAAGCACTCTTTTCTACAAATACTAAAGCTACTATGGTTTGATAATATTGCCTTGGGTTAGTTTGGGAATGCTTAGTAATGTTCATAATTAATAGCAAATGAGAATCGCAAAATAACCCAGAGTTTATTAAGGTAACCAACCCAGGCACAGGATTTAGAATCCAAATTCGATACCTGATAGTTTCGATATTTTCGTACATCTCTTACGACATGATCACGTTACTTACTCCTCACTTTTAAAATAGTAAAAACTATCTCTACAAACCAACACAAGTCTTTCCAGTATGTTTTGTCATCACTCACATAGCAAACCACGAAGTCACCCAACCTAAAATTACTCCAAACAAAACACCGCTTAGTTATGAAATTGCTATGATTGGACAACCAAAAAGGTAGGTATGTGTGAACGGTTTGAAAGTGAAAAGGTAAAATAAATATTAATTATGGGAAGTTAGTGATTTTTTTAATTTTCTATTTTTCAAAATTATTTATTTATTTACCATTGTTTTTGTCTTTATTTATGCAAGGTTTAAATTCTAGGTTTCGATTATTTTTATTTGATTTTTCAAAATTAAAAGTTATAAGCTATGAGTTTCAAAATAATAATAATAAAATAATCTTTAAAAATTTATTATTTTAAGAAAAATAAAACCACGACAACGTTCTGGTTTCTAAATAGGTAAGAAAAAATAAAATTTTGGTCCCTAAATTTTCAAATTGAATAATTTTACTCGTGATGTTTGAATAATTTTAGTTTAATTACTATCGGAAAGATGATGTGACGTTTTAAAATAAAAAATATTTTTTTACTTTCTCTTCTCATTCCTCGTTCCAATGGCAATCGATAACTGTAATTTTTTTTTTCGTTTTCCTCTTCGTTTTTTTGAAAAGATATGTGGGTTATATTTGATCCTATTAAATTTATATTTAGGAATGATCTTGAATTTGTATAAAAATTTGATTACTATACGAGCATTTAATATTGACCGAAAGTTAGACATTGAACCATTAATCTTTAAAATGATAATTCGTACCTTTTCTGCTAAACTATGCTCGAATTGATCATTTAACATATGTTTTATTTAAATAGTTTTAGTCAAAAGTGAGCTGGGATCGAGAGTTCAAAACTTCTATATCTCACTTGTATATGAAGTTTAATCGAGAAAAAAATTAGTTGATTTAACAAAAAACAAACATGATTTAGTAGTACCTGACGTGTTATCTTTTGTCCAAGACCGAACGTTTAAGCTCTCAAACTCGAGTTATACCTAAAAAAAAAAAAATTAAACCGTTCTTCATCGATTCGAATGATCTCAATCTAATTTTTTTTCTCAATAGCAATGGTTTTAGGTATTCTATTGTTTAGCTCAATGTTTATATGAATTGCATTCAAACCACTAAGCTTTAATAGTTAAACATATGCATAAATGAATGCTCTAATTTCAATTTGCTAAGCCAATTTTTTTAAGAAAAGATTTAAGCTTTGATTGTTAACTCATGTAACATTTATGCGATATTATCTACTTTGTTCTTCACATTCCAAAATACTTGGTATAATTGTAGTTAAATTTCATGAACAAAAAATGTATAATTTTCGGAGAATTGATGGCTTTGTGAAGTGTTTATTTTCATCTTCACATCGTTTTGAAAACCAATTTTATTTTTTTAGTTGCTGGGTTAGTAATCGAACCATCAACATTTAAAACGACAATTTACGTCTTATTTATTGAGCTATGCTCGAATTGATAAAAATATTTGTACCTTAATTACACGGGTACAAATTTAATATCAAATCAAGTTTAAAATCTTAAAACAAAAAGCTTTAGTGTTTAGGCAGACTATAAGTAAGTTCTTAAACTTTTAAGTTTGTGTTTATTAATCCCTAAACTTTAAAATATTTATAATAAGATCTTTTAACTTTTAGATTACTTAAAAAAATATATCTAATAGATTAGTAAATTTTAGAAAATGTTAAAAGAGTAGTGTACCGATTAGATATAAAATCGATTAGACAGTTTTAAAAGTTCATCAATCAGATAAACACAAATCGAAAAGTTTAGGGACTAAACGTGCAATTTAATAAATGTTAAAAAAACATATATTATAAAACAAACAAAGGGTTGGTTGATAAACAAGCTTATTTATATGGGAAATAGAAGAAAAACAACAACAACTCTTATCCAAATAATCCCTAGATTTAGCCATTATAGTTAAGAAATGAAAAAACCAAAGAACTTAACTACTCTCATTCATTACAAAATTTATAACATTTTTTTAAGGTTGTTTCATTAATTTCCTCTTCATCATTTACTTTCATTGGCTACCTATATTTGGGTAGCCTTAGTCTCTTCTTTTAACCTAAATATCATTAATTCAAGCTAAAGGAATCCAACATAAAGTGTAGATAGCTCTAATTTACATTTTACTTTTGTAGGTATTACAAAAAAAACACGACCAATTTTGTCAAAAACCAAACATAAATTTATAATTTGTGTTGTTCATGGAGACAAAACCTAGGAGTTAGAGAAAGAAAAAACACAATCCCACACAATCCCATACAACAATATTATTCTATTAGTTTTTTTACTTCAAAAAAATTAAACCCCAGATAAAAAAGATTCAATCTTTAGCTGAAAAATCCACATATAATATAGAGAAATCTCTTTCTTGATCCATAGGAAATTGTTTCTTAGCTCTTTTACAAACACCCATTACATAATTACTTGAGAAAAGATTCCTAAGAAGAAGAATTAGAAGAAGAAATGTTCATATGAAAATTCAATTGCTTACCTTGATGGCTTGTTCTTGCTTTGATTTTTGGTATCAAACCCTTAAATTTGGTCCAATTTTAAGGGTTTGAATGCTTTGTCAAAAGGGTGGAAGTTGAACATTTTGCATATGAAGTGGCAAATTCAAGAATGGAAGGCCTGAATTTGATGGGTCTTGAAATGGGTTATTGTTGTTGTTGTTACCCACTCCGCCACCGCTGCCGCCGCCACCTCCGCCGCTGCCTGTCGGAGCTTGCTGCTGATCCTCCTCATCAAGTGGTAATCTTTCATACGCCACATTAGTAAAAGAAGCTGCAATCAAAATCACTGGCCCTGCCGCCGTTAATTCTCCGGCCACCG